CTACACACCAATTATAAGAGAGCAGACAGAAACATTTCTCAAAAGCCCCGGCAATAGAAACAGACTGCAAAGAATAAAAACAGCACCTGAAGGATCTGTCAGGACAGGCACAGACACCGCAAGATTGCTCAATAGTATTGTTGTAGGCTATTTATTTAAAAAGTGGCTTTTTCAGTCTTTTAGACACCACTGAGTCTGACTCCTATATGGGACCCCCCATCCTACAATTTTAAAAGGATATACATCTAGTTAATAGTGCAAAGACCCAGATTTCATGTTGTAAAATTTAGTCAAAAATGTTTTTAAGTTCTATTAGTACAATTTTTTTGTCAATTTACTTGAATAACAACAACTATTAAAAAAAAATTATATATATATATATATATATATATATATATATATATATATATATATATATATATATATATATATATATATATATATATATGAATAGTTGAGATGCAAAAAGCTGAGACTTTTGAAGGCTCAAAATGAAGACTTTTCTCCACCTCCTTTCTTTATGTTAAGATATTTCACTTTAAAGACCAGGAAAATTACTTATTCTTTGCCTTAAAAGAGATATTACTGAACTTACACCCAGGAGCATGATTAAAATGCTCATTTTAAAGAAAAATGTCAGACGTTTTAGAGGTTTCTGCATCTAAAGTCTTCCTATCTAATTTTATTTTTTACCTGGACTATTAACTGAGGCCGTTCACCATTATAAACGCCTTCTTTACATCTTCCATAACCCTCGCAACTACAAGCGCAAACAAATAGCAGCTACCACACATTTGCATATATATTGACCTCATCAGCGGTGACATTCTAGCGGCAGTAACCAGCAGGAAGTCATTACCATATCTGGTACCCGGTCAGTAAATTGGGTGACAGAGTGAACTATTGAAGAATAACTAATTAGGTCTCTTCTCTTGGTCTCACATGCACACAAACACGGGAGTAGAGTTTCCAGCACACCTGCGCTCCTTGTCAACGGGTATCCACTTTCACACCAACACAGACCTACTGTCCTTACACGGGTCACGACCCCTGCCTGCACGACTGTTGTTATCATTGGACTTTTGCAAAGAGCTTCAGAAATTACTGGTCTGTGCAATCAATCATTCTGGGAGTGTAAAACGCATCTTCAATTTACAAAGAACAAGACCGGAGGACACATCATGACAGAACAATCGTAAAGATGGCTGCAAGTGAAAAAATGGTGGGCCGTCTAAATAAGTGTCACTTGATAAGTGCATTATTTATAATATGAGAGCTGTTATGCTCATTTTATTAGGCAGTCACATACAGTACATGTTTGGCATGTGTTTAGGTCATTTGAGAGATGGTTGGCACAAAAATGAGTTTCCTGTTAATTTATTTACCTTCAGATCATCCAAGAGGTACACAGGTGACTTTTTCTTTAGTATAACATTAAAGGGGTGGTCCACATTCATGGTCATTTCTTCAAAACTCCTGCCAGGAAGTTCAGTATATCTTGTAAGAGCTTGATTAGCTGGTTCAGGTATGTTTGATTAGGGTTGGAGCTAAACTCTCCAGGACAGCGGTCCTCTAGGACAGAGTTCAAACACCCCTGTCTTACATGTGAGCTGATGATGTTTGTATAATTGACACACACACACACACACACACACACACACACACACACACACACACGTGCGCGCGCAAAAAGTCATCTATATTCTCTTTAACAATTTCTGATGGCCTAAAGTAGGGCTGCACAACATATCGTTTCAGCATCGTTATCGCAATGTGTGAATATGCAAGTCACATCGCAGAATCTGCAGTTTTGAGTTTAATTATTATAATAATTATTATTATAATTAACCAGAAATTACTTTAATAGCAATAAAGTTTAACCTATTATAATGAACAAATTTATTTATTTTTTAGGCATGTGACTATAACATTTCCAGCTAATGAAAACTATTTGTGCACAAGAAGTTGTGTGTAGAAAATGTGTAGCTTTAACAAAGAGGAATTGTATACGGTCACGGTGTTATTTTACATTTGAACTCGATACTGTTAGAATATCCAGAAAAACAAACACAATTTCATTTGTATATTTGTGTTATTGTATTCATTTATGATAGTAATTTATTATAACTATTATACTTTATAATAAACACATTCACTTCAAAATCATCACAATGTAAAATTATGAACTCTTTCCTTACAGAGTTTTGTAAATCATATTATGAAACTAAATTAATATCCCATTATGTGTCACACAAAAAATTCACTATTGCAATATTCATTTTTTCAATATTGCGCAGCCCTAGCCTAAAGGATAAGTCAATAATAGCAATGTTTCATTCAAATAATTTCAAAATTCATTGCTCACTGAGAGATTTAGTCTAAGAGTGTTACAATGACTTTAATAGTTTTAAAAGATAGTCAAACAAGATAAGATACACAAGCTAACAGTACAAAACATAAATGCATCACGATTATGCATTTTATGTTCAAATCTTGATAGAAAATGCTGAAGATATTAAGATTTAATTTACTAAACTAGCGGAAAAGCAGCATAATGCCATCCAAAGTTTTTTTTTTTTTTTTTCAAACTTCACCCCCATCTTAGAAGCCTAACTAATATTTACAAACAAGAATCTACTGCCTTATAGAAATGACACTACAAATCGTCTCTAAAAGCATTTGTTTACATGATGTGTTCACTTATAGATGTGCTGGAGATGAACTATGTTTCAAACAGGCATAGTATAAATGGCATATTTACCTTGAACACCTCCGAGAAGAAACCTGAGCCGATCTTCTCGCAGATGAAGTCGTCTAGTCGTGCCAGGCTGGACACGGCGCTGCGCAGCGCCCGGTAAGATGACGGCCTGGGCCGGTGCGCTCCGTGAACTCCGTGCATGAGAGAATCCGAAGCCTCCGGGTCCAAGTCATCTTGGTCCATAAAGATGGACATTATCTCGAGCAGTCTGAAATCTACCCCAAGCGTTTACATTTCTGCAATGCAGTTACAAGGTCCCTGTGATTGTTTGTCAAAAAAGAGCGGTCCGCCTTTCGCTCAAGTTATAAATCCCCGTTATGCGTCCTGCGCGTGACCGATCTTCAGGTCTCGTGCGACGCTTCCTCCATCCTGATAGCTGGCCTCATTTTCAGCAACGCATCACAATCCTGTTTTAGATAGGAAACAGAGAATCGACATTACCGCTGGTTATATTTACATTTCCTCGTGGTGAACATGTTTTGGTGAAGTTGGACTAGTGATGAGCGGCATCTTCCGCTACAGTCAGACTGCGGATGATCAATTATACATAGAGAAGTGAGGCGATACGCGCCATCGCAACCTCTTCACAACACTGTTTATACTTTTATTCGTTACCTGAAAGTAACCCTGTTTCAATTAGCATTAACATTTTGCCACAATATCGCTTGTCTTGATTGCAAAGCTTACCTCCTATGCTCTACAGGTATAAACTTATCGGGTCTTCGCTTCAGCACATTTCAATCCATCGGAAATACCCTAAAATGCACGGATGCGTCAGCTCAAACCCCCTCGTGTTTCATTTTAAAAAAGCGACTAAACGGAGGAGCTCTACAGGCATCTGTGTATCAGTCGCAGGAAATGTGTGCGGAGTTGACTTTGAGCTCTTATTGGAGGCGACTCACCTGGGCGGGTCCAGCGGAGGCGGCTCACCTGCAGGGGCGCGCGCACGAGCTGGTTGACAGATGATGATGATGATGATGGTGATGATGACCAGGCGAAGCTCAAGTAGTGAATGATTTATTTAAAAATAAAAAAACATAATTGCATTTCAATAGATTGAAAAAGTATACAAAAGCAAATTAATGACAAAAATGGACAATGATATTACCAATAAAACATTATTCAAATGTGTCCAAAACTTAATAAAAAAGAAGTTAAACTAAAATAAGTAACTAAATAAAACTTAATTGTTGGCTAATTAATATTCCTGAGGTCAGTGTATGCCAAACAGTGAAGAAACAAACGTCCCATCACCTGACCCCCATCTCTAACATTATTTGTCATGGTGAGCAGACATTCATTGCTTGTTTACTTTTTGTTATTCCATGACAAACTCACCTACAGTGAGAAACTTTACACGAAGACGACACAGCGCTATCAAATCTATGATGTATGAATTATTGAGCAAGACCAACGCTGTTGACTCATTTATGAGCTTTAAAAGTGCTTTAGTTTTGACAGCAACAACACCCTTCAGTTCTTTTATCAAACGTATGACCATCATTTGTGGATAAAATATATATAATTCATAAATTACATAATAATAAAAGTCATTGCTTCTTTACACTGATGTTGCAGGCACCCTTTAACTTTGTCATGCAATAGGCCTACTATCATATAATATGATCTTTTTGACTCTTCCGATACTGGTGCAAGAATATCTCACAGTAAATAAAGCACACATCTGGTCTCCTTAATAATTGAGTCATGCTTGAGCACACAGAGCTCATTAAACTGCTCCTGTTGTTGTTAATGGATGTACAGTTGCATGCAGTGCAACATGAAAGAGTGTGTATGCATGCAAGATGCGAGCCATGGAGAAACATAGAATTATGTTCATAGAATAGAACATAAATTTCTGCTGCCATCTAGTGGCACAAGACTAACATTAAAATAAACTGATCTAATTTTTTTTATATCAGCAGCAATTTTGCCCTGCTGTTTGCCCTGCTCTCCATCTCATACTGGTCAACAAACATGAATAAAGGTTAAACATAATAGAATAATTGAGCTAGGACCACACATTGCATTGTGAATATTTATCTAGAGTAACTATAGGTAAATACACACTCTTTTTACAGTCAATGTATTCTGTTTTATTATTTCAAACAATAAGAGAAGAACTTTTTACAGGAAAGTGATTTTACTGTAACAAAGGGTAGAGAAAGAAAAATCAAACCAAATATCTCTTGAATTATGCACAGAATAGCTTTCCTCATTACAACGAGATGATTCAGATTCATGGCTATGAAGGAATCATTTGCATCTAGCATTTCAACTTTGAGTTTGATTCAATCATTACCAGTCACAGGTGAGATGATGAGTGGTGCTGAATTTTGACCTTTATTATTACTCAACGGACTTAAAAATGGATAGAGTTTCTCAGTGAAAGACTGACCAGTGAAAGAGTAGATATGAGACCTAGACTTTACGTCATAAAAGGAGACCAGACCTTCCTCATAATCCACAAACACACCCACTGTCTGGGGCTTCACTTTCAAGGAGAGGGAGAGAGTTAGAGACTCGCAAGCCTCACACTTATTTTCATCTTTCAGCCACAGAGACCAATTCCCATCGTTAGGACTGAGGAAGAACTCCCCCTTTCTGTTGAGGGATTCTCTAGCCACACCCAAAAGCCATTCAGTCTTTCCACTTACATTTACTTCAAAATAAAATCTCCCTGAGGAAAAGCCCTCTTTTCCCAACACAACAATATAGTTTTCAAACCTCTTGTCACTGCCTGGGCGGTCATGCTTTATGTTTCCATACCGCACTTGCTTTCCATCTTCAGACAGGATAAGCTTCGGATGAGCTGTATCAGGATCCAGAATCACATCCACTAAGAGAGAAAGAGTTTGAATCACAGCTTCTGTATACAAATTCACAATCAGTCAAATCTATTTAGAATGCAAATCATATCAGTTGAAGATACTGTATGCGAGTAAGATTATACACAGTACCTGAATACTTCTGGATCCTCTTCAACACTGTGACACACATGACAACAACATATTATTATTCATTTACATACACACAGTCAAGACACAAATTAGGACTTAATTCTATCAGAAAGTGTTTATTTTTTACGGAAATGACACAGGCTTCTCCCACAATACAATAGGACAATGTACAAGAGGCGTCATTGTGGAATAACAAATCTCAGCTTTTATTTACATTTGAACAGAAACTTAGAATTTGCTTGAGATATGAATAATTGTGGCTTGATTGTACAAACTGACATATTTATGAACTAAATGACTTTGAAAATGATCATTTCTGTCTTGGATGTAGTGGATGGTTTTTTGTGTCAGGTTTTGTATATTTAAAATAGTTTTTAGTGAGTATTGTAAATAAAAATAAAAAGAGTATTTTTTTTAAATAAAAATAGAAAAAACTTACCATTATTATTAAATCCCTCATCTATAGTCTCCTGCAGCTGAGACAGAGCGCTTCTCAAAGTCTCCACACTCACACCGGTGTTAATATTGATTCCAGTCCAGATCTTGATGTCTAAAGGCCTGCACAAAGATGGAAACATCTACAACAGAAGAGAGAAGAGAAAATCAATCACTGTGACATGACACTAGTGCTTTACCAAAGAGAGAGAGAGAGACCTGTAGGAGGTGCAGGTGATCTTCAGTGTGTGAGAGCTCCTCCAGCTCAGTGTTTCTCCTCCTCAGTTCACTGATCTCCTGCTCCAGCTCTTTAATCAGTTCTTCAGCCTGTTTCTCTGCTGCTTTCTGCTTCTGCTCCGTCACCTCCAGCAGCTCACGCTGACATCTCTCAATGGAGCGCATCAGATCAGCAAACACCTCGACACAGTCGGCTTTCTCTTTTTCATTGTTTTTCTAATTAATCAAATGAAAAAAAAGTTCAGAGGATTTCTTTGATTCAAAACTGGGCCTTCGTCTAGTGGCAAGCGAAGCATTTTTGTGTAGGTTTTCATGTTTGTTTTAAATGTGTGTCCTTACGGAATGACAGCCCATTTGAAGATCTCTAGCAGGGGCAGTCAGATTTACATTTTGATTTTTTTTATTAAAAAAAAAAATCCATGATGCCATATATAGCACAAAAATAACTCATAATATTAAAGACCCAGCAGTATATTTAAGCATGAGCATGGAGTAAATTTATGATACCAGTAGTGTCTGACAACTAAATTTGCTGGAGTTTGTCTTTGAATGAAGATTCTAAGTAAACTTACTTTTCTTAGCTCTACTGAATGCTGGATTTCTTTAATCATCTTCATTCTGTCCTGGATTAACTGCTGCATGTCTGTCTGTGTCTTCATCAGCTGGTTCTATAGTCAGAAAACAACACAGACCTGTTTTATTACTCAACTACTTAAGAAGAAACAAGCGCATTGAGGGAAAATTCACACGCAAAAAAGAAATCTTACCAATTACTCACCTTTATGAGTTGCGTTATTCTGGTAAACACAAAAGAAGATATTTTGAAGTATGTTGGAAAAACTGGTAACAACTGACCTCCGAAAGTCAACCGGACGTCATCGATTACAGCTTTCTTCAAAATATCTTTTTTTTTGTTTTCAACAGAAGAAAGAAACTCATAAAGGTTTGGATGGGTGAGTAATTTTTTTATATCAGGTTTACAGAAAACAAGACTATAAATAAAATAGATAGAATGTATACATATTAATATTCATTCATTTTCTTTTTGGCTTAGTCCCTTTATTAATCTGGGGTCACCACAGCGGAATGAACCGCCAACTTACCCAGCATATGTTATATGCAGCAGATGCCCTTCCAGCTGCAACCCATCACTGGGAAACACTCATACACTCGTGCACACACTCACATTCATTCATTTTCTTTTCGGCTTAGTTCCTTTATTAATGTGGGGTCGCCACAGCAGAACGAATCGCCAACTTATCCAGCATATGTTTTATGCAGCAGATGCCCTTCCAGCTGCAACCCATCACTGGAAAACACTCATACATTCTTGCACACACTCGCATACATTTATTTTCTTATCGGCTTAGTCCCTTTATTAATCTGGGGTTGCCACAGCGGAATGAACCGCCAACTTATCCAGCATATGTTTTATGCAGTAGATGCCCTTCCAGCTGCAACCCATTACTGGGAAACATCCACCTATAGTGCATGTATTTGGACTGTGTAGGAAACGGGAGCACCTGGAGGAAACCCATGCGAATATGGGGAGAACATGCAAACTCCACACAGAAATGCCAAATGACCTAGCCTAGGCTCAAACCAGTGACCTTCTTGCTGTGAGGCGATTGCGCCACCGTGCTGCCCACATATTAATATATACAAGGAAAATCATATAAAACAAAAAATTTAATTTAAGTTGGCGGTTCATTCCGTTGTGGCAACCTCAGATTTATAAAGGGATTAAGCCAAAAAGAAAATGAGTGAAGTTTTAATGCATATTTATACTAAGGGCCTATGCAACCAATTTATATTAAAAGGTTATAATATGAAAATGTACATACAGCATGTTATAATTCTGCTGTTTCTTACCTTCTTCTCTTCACTCTCCTCCTCTACAGGAACAGTGTTGTGCATCTTATGTTCAGTCACAGTGCAGGTCACACAAACACACGTCTGATCATCTCTGCAGAACAGCTCAAGAGGCCGGTCATGCTCCTGACACAAATAACCCTGGAGATTTTTGACAGGGTTGATCAGCTTGTGTTGCTTTAAACCCGGAACTGTCAAATGACGCTCCAGATGAGCCTCACAGTAAGAGCTCTGACACAGCGGACATGACTTCAATGCTTTCTTCTTAGTGTCCGTGCAGAAGTCACAGAAGACCTCAGCCATTTCCAGATTGCTTTTCTTTTTGTAGTGATCTGCAATCTCTCGGAGCGTTGTATTGACTTTGAGCTCAGGCTTTTGGTGCAATGTTTCTTTACAGATTGGGCAGCTGTAGTCTCGACTGTTGTGCCAGTACTTTTCCAGGCAGGTCTTGCAGAAGTTGTGTCCGCATGGAGTGGTGACTGGATCAATGAACACATCCAGACACACTGAACACTGGAGCTCTTCAGACAGAGGACCAGTGGAGGATATCAGAGCTGAAAAAAGAAAGGATTACTTACACAAGAACTTATACATTATTTTTTGGGGAGGGTTACTGACTTACATTTAGATGAATCCTGAGTTCTGGTCCCTCTTGGAGATTCTTCCATTGTATTTTTCTGATAATTTTTTTAAATAATAAACCACAATAATTAAACCACAAACTGTAGCACAAACAATAATTGCTGGATTGAAAAGTATCAGACAACAACACATAAATATATCTTGATATATAAAGCTATCTGGGCCATTCATGCCCATGTAATAAACATTCATATGAAATCATCATGTAAGCTACTCTAACAGTGTTTATGCGTGTTTTATTTTTGAGGGTGAATTTGCTTACAAAAATCACAGAAGCTTTTTTAGTACACAAAATAATGTCTATGAGGCTGAATGTAAAGGTTATTATCAAATTAATGTCTTCTGTGTTTTTAAGATGTGATTACAACAGTTACAACAGGCATTACTGTGTGCTTAACACTCACAGCCAATATGAATGCTAATAAGCAGCTAGCGTTAGTTGCAAACAAGAAAAGCTACACATGCCAAAGTGTAACTCAAATTACTTCAAATTTTACTTTACAAAGGCTAAAATGACATAATATAATGCAATTCTGATGGCACTGCATTACTGAAACAAGAACAACAGAGGTATTTGGCCCTAAACCTGGAAGGATGTACACTACAAGACGTGTGTCCACCCTAATAAAAAACTGAAGATGGAAGTACATTTCTTTTACATACCTGTGTCTCAGTTATGCTCACATATACCTAAACATAGCAAAACAGTTAAATAGTCAGTTGTCGTCACTAGTCAGGACACCTTTCCAGTTGTTTTTCAGTTCAGTTTCATTTCACTGAAGGACTCCGCCCATCTACAGTGACATCATAGCGCGTCCCATATATGGAATAGGGGAAGATGAGTGTCTCTGACAATGGAGGTCTCTGATGAGTGATTTATGATTTTTTGGCCAAAGAAAAGGTTAGGAAAAGGCTGATTAACGTTAGCTTAAATCATAATATCAAAATAACGTTTTATTGTGATCATGATCGTTTTTTTTAAAAAAAAAACATCTTTTTAATTTTTTTCTTTTTTTATTTTTAATTATGCGAAAAGTGAAAATATACAATCACAGTACATTATAAAGAAAAGGAAAAGTATTTTTATATCATTAGAAAATAATGAATAAATAATAAAAAACAGAAGGGGTATAGGCCTTTTTTTATTTTATTGATCAAACAGGGGTGTACAGAGTTATACATAAAACAGTATACAATGGAATTAACAACAAAAATTAATCGTGTATATTAAGTATTTTTTTCCAGTAGTTGAGATGTCTTAATAGCTTTGGTATTACTTTGTATAGCAGTGAGGGAATCATAAAAACGTTTTAGATTAATGAAAAATAAAATTTACAATTTGGTACAGTCAGCATACATTTTGTTTTGTGGATGTGATACTTTCCAAATAAAATAAGAATTTTTGTTATTTTGTCCATTTCCAGTAATCCAGAGTTGCAATCCGTAAAAAAAACATTTGCTCAGTTATACTGATTAATTTATAAAACACTTCAAAAAGTAGTAAGGAAACTTGGGACCAAAACTGTTTTGTGTAACTGCAACTGAAAAATAAATGAAGAATTGTTTCCGGTTCCATTTTACAAAAACAACACAAGGGTGAAAAACCTTCCTTAAACTTACTTATAAAATCATTGCATGGATAATATCTATGTTTTTAAAATTTGTTTCTTTTACTTGGGGTATAGGCCTATACATCACACGTTAAAGAAAAAGATGATATAATTCACACCTTTACAGTTTTTTAAACCTTTTTGTAAAAGAGTTAGAAATAATTTCAAAGTAATTCTGCAGTTCAGGTAAAAAAGGTTTTTGATTTGTAAATTTACATTTAGGCTATCTATATAAAATTTTGTTAGTAAGATAAGGAGATTAAGGAACTATACTTTCTTTTTATGTAAATGTTCTGTTTTGCCTTTATTGTGATTGTTCCATCCATTTCTACACAAACAGAAACGCAATGTTTATATAGTATATAAATAATTAAATTTTGTTTTTATTATATTATATACTAGTGTTTTTCTTTAACAAACTTCAAGAATTAAAACAAAAGCAATGAAAATACATTAATTAATGATGAAAAATCGATTAATAAATTATTAATGTTGCATCTCTTACTATTATACAGCGTTTATTTAATAGTCTTCGAAATAACGTTTCTAAAATGAACTATAAGTGTAGGCTATATTGACTCCATAGGTCGCAAAAAGAAAGCGCTCAACTGATAAGAGGGAAATAAAAGAGGTCAAAGTTCACGATCTACACAGTTAAATGCAAGAGGTGTGGTAGCATATGGTGTGTGTCTGTATATAATGCACCTGTCCCGATCTCTGCTCGCAGCACAATGGGTCTGACGCTCGGGGAGCGCGTGCAGCACTGTCTGCTGGTCCTCGTGTCCGGGCTGTTTCTGCCTCTCTTCAGGCTGCTTTCACCTGGCACAAAGCGTCCAAAACATCTTCCTCCAATCACAAACCCGCTGCTTACTCTCTCGGCAGTGCAGCTGGCTGAGAAGATACGCAGAAGAGAGGTTTGAGCTCTTATTTGCATTAGCTTCGTCACAGCTGAGCTTTAGTGAATGTGATTTTGCAAACACATGGGAGTGTTTAGTCGTCGTGGTGATGTTGTGCAGGGTGACTGAGTTTGTTCTGAGAGAGTTGGCATTGTTTTAAAGTGGAATAAGAAATGAAAAGATAAATATAATCATTCATTGCACTCTATTTTTTAAGTAAAAGTATTTTTGTTGTTATATTATGTTAATTTTATTTTGCACATTTAAAATGGGGCTGTTTCTCAGTTCATTTATCTAGTTCTTTGGAGTGTTATGCCATGTTGGAGAGCAGAATATAAACAAGGCCACTGAAAAGAACTAAACTTGATCAATTATTGACATGTTTTGGCCTGTACTAATCTGTCGGACTACATTTAGAACATTAAAGAAAAGGCATTCAAAGGTTACAAACCGTTCAAACAGAATAAAGCCCGTTAAATTAAGTTTCAGATTATTGCACTTCAGTAGTAGATTACAGTGCAGATGTTTATTTTTTTATTTTTTGTGTCGTCACAATCATACAATTGTTATTTCACTATTTTATCAGTTAAACTATTCAGATAGATCCTTGTTTTTGTTTTTTTTAAAGTGCCACAACTTATAGATGAACAGGAAGATGAAATGGATATGTCTTTTACAAATAATACAGAGAAAAAACAGCAACTTATAGGTTTGCATGAATTTAACTAATCAACAGACAAAACAAATGTATTTTTGAAAAAGTTTGTCGTAATGCATAAAAAAATGAAGCACTTTTCTTGTTATATCTATCTCTAAGACTGGTACCAAGAGTTAACTTTAACAAGAAAAAGGGGTAAATATGAAGGAGATTTAAACCAAATCTGGAACGGTTTCCTCTACAAAGCTACAAAATGAGCAGGTCGCATCAGCATACTCTGAAATAAATAAATTAACAGAATAGATTTCTGTGCAAAATGAATCTTGTTAGGTACAAAATATGTTTGGCAAAACCCAGACCTTTCCCCAGCTTACGTTTTGTTACAAAGAAACAGCAGTAAAATGTACATCTGTAAAATAAAAATGTACAATATTTAGGGGTCAAGGTGGCACAGTGGGTAGCATGATCACCTAACAGCAAAAATTTCGCTGGTTCAGGCCTAGGCTAGGTCAGTTGGCCTTTCTGTGTGTAGTTAGCATGTTCTCCCCGTGTTTGAATGTGTTTCCCCCAGTGGAAAGACATGCGCTTTAGGTGAATTTGTTACGCTAAATTGGCTGTAGTGTGTGAATGAGTGTGTATGGATGTTTTCAAGTGATGGGTTGCAGCTGGAAGGGCGTCCGCTGCATAAAACATGTGCTGGATAAGTTGGTGGTTCATTCTGCTGTGGTGATCCCAGATTATAAAGGGACTAATCCGAAAAGAAAATGAATAAATGAGTTGGAATAGTTTGTGAATGTGGCTCTTTTTATGTTTCTGATCTATAATATCGATGCTGCACAAATGTAAAGCTGGATAAATGCATGTAGTTAACTTTCTTTTTTTGAACAAAAGATAATTTTTAACTGTTTTAAGCCAGTTGGAATAACTTTTATCAAAGCATTATACTCATTTTAATGGATTAACAAAATCCATTTCATATTATTATTAAACCATGTAGGGAAAAGCGACTTCTCTAGATAATATGTCTGTCTTGATTCAAAGGAAAATTTAGTGAGAGGCTTGAAAAGCAATGAACAAAACAAAAAAGACATTGCTGATGGAAGTTGGATTAAGAAACAAGCAAGTATCTCAATATTGGCTGCACAAAGGGGCAACTGATGAAATCATGAGATAACTGAAAATGCTCTTTAGTGTTAGGATGTAATTGCTGTGGTGTGCAGTGCAATAATGACAGGTCAGCAACACACTGAATTATATCTTGTTGCTGTAAACAGTGCCTTTGATCCAATAGTGTGAATGAAACTGACTTTATTTCTTATTTATTCACTTGACTAGAGTAATCTGGGGTTATCTTCTCAACTTTATCCTGTATAAAGGACTCTCAAGTGCGCTGATTATGTAAAAAAAAAAAAAAGAAAAGAAGTAAATATACTGCTATAAAAATAACATTTAGAGACCACTTAAAATGATGTTTTTCTGTTTTTAGATAATACAACACTAATGTTTTAACTTCAAGGGAGTTTAACTTCAAGTTTAAAGTGATCCAAAAATGGATATTTACTTACTATTTACTCATCTTCAAGTGGTAAGTAGAGTTGATTTCTTGAACACAAAATATTTCTTTTGATGAAATCTGGATGCCTGTTAACATTGACCACCATAGTAGGAAAAACAAAAAGTCAATGGTTACAGCTTTCCAACATTTAACAGAACAAAAAAAAAAAAACTCAAACTGGTAGGGAATAAGTAAAAATTGAGTAAATGATGGCAGAATATTAATTTTTGGGTGAAATATCCCTTTAGGAAACGATGCTTAACCATTTATATTCTCTGAAAAAATCTTCAAATTATAAGATTTCATTTAAAGATTACTCAAGCTTATATCTATTAAATCCAATACATGCAGACAAACTGAGATTATTATTTTTTTTAGCTATATTAAAAAT